GTGCTGATTAGATTAAGTGTCGAGTACTCGGCCAATCACACGGGGGGTGTGAGGCTCCGCGCCCCACCTTCGGCCCCTCCTCACTGTAGGGCTCGGCCAGTGAGTTTGCAGAGGGGGCGGTCCGGGCGGAGGCTGGACCCTCGCCCCCCGCCTTCTGCCATTTAAAAGCGGTCAGTGAATAAGGGGACGAGAGGGGTGTGTGTGTGTGTGTGTGTGGGGAGGGGGTACACATAGAGCTATACCAGCAAATAAAAGCACACACACACACACAGGAGTCGTACGCAACTGAATGCAAAACTATTTCCTGCTGTAGTTTGTGTGGGTTTTTTTTGTTCATATAAAAGGCGGTGGGGGGGTTGGGAGGGAGGAGGGGATGTTGTTGGGTTGAGGGGGCTGGACTCATGTTGCAGTTGGCTGATCGCTGCTGCCTCTCCTCCACCACTAGCCTGAGCAAGAGTCTCCACAGCTTCTCCTCCTCCTGCTGCTGCTGCTCCTCCTCATCCTCCTCCTCCTCCTCCTCATCATCATCCTCATCATCCTCCTCATCAGCCTCCTCCTCTTCTCCTGCTCCCGAGAGCCACATCCCCGCGACCGCTCGCCTCGGCAGCGTCTCCTCACCCCCCACCCCACCCCCCCTCCCCTTCACCCCCCCCTCTGCCCGGGAGAGAGAGAGAGAGAGAGAGAGACCTCCCCGGTAAGAGCTGAGGGGCTCCGGCAATGCTGACCGAGAACGAGACCCACGGCTTCCCCGGCTCCAAGGGGCCCGCGGCGGCCGTGGATCGGGGCAAGGACTCGCCCGCCGCCGAGGACGAGGACTTGGCCGAAGTTCGCTACAGTTTGGACACTTTGGGACCCGACAGATACTTCCTGTCGCCCGTCGCCGCCCAGAACCCGAGCCCCGGCCACCAGCAGCCGCTCCAGCAGCAACAGGTGGGGGGCAATGCCGGCGCCCTCCTGCCCTACCCGGGTCAGCACGGCTCGGCTTTCCCGGTCAACGGCGCCAGCAGGTACCTGAGCCCCCACTCCATGCTGGGCAACTCCGCCTACAACCCCATCCTCTCCTCGGCCGGAGCCCAGGCTTTCCCCCCGTCCGCTTACCCCGCTTACCCGGGACCCGGGCGCTCTCAGTACGGACACAGTTACCAGAGCGGCCCGCTGTACCCGCAGTACCAGCCCGCCATCCCGCACTCCACCCGGGCGCAGGTCTACCTCTGCAACCGGGCGCTCTGGCTCAAGTTTCACCGGCACCAGACCGAGATGATCATCACCAAACAGGGCAGGTAAGAGCAGCGGGGACCGGGGACCGGGGGGCGGGCGGGCGGTGCCTGGGTTTACCCGCCGCCGCCGGTGGTGCGGTGTTTTGCGGGTGAGAAGGCGGTAACTCGCGCGTCTCTGCTCTCCCGGCGATCTTCTTGGGTTAAAAACACACACAAAAAAAAAACGAGGGGTCCCTGTGTCGGATGCGCGTTTGATGTGCGGCGCTTTTCACGCGATTTACACTCCACGAAGTGCACTGACTGAATCGGTAATGAGAGGGTAGTTCTCGGTCGTTGTCTGTGCACCGAACCGCGGCTCTCAACCACATCAAAAAGACGTTTCTTTTGAGTTAACAGCGCAATTTCTTGAATTCGACGTAGATGTAAAAGCACTACTACAGTTGTGCTATTCACAGAATCTCTGAACAGTAGCTCTTTTGGATGAAGGTAACGTGTAAGTGTGTTGGCGTTGCTCGGCTCGGGGTTGAGTTGGTTTGGGTCCCACTTGACTTTTTGGACCGTTGAGTCTTTAACACGAGACGTGTCTAATGTGTAAGTTGGCTGCAGTGTAAAAACTGCGGCGCTTTCGTTACTGAATCACTGGATCCACTTTGCACTGTTTCCAGCGAATGGGACTTGCACAACTTGTGCAATGTTCGCCGTTCAGGAACGATTGAGAAGCACTTTTTGTGTGTGAAAGAAAGACTACCTTTGCAGAGGGCACCGTCTTTCTATTATGTGCAAATAGAAACCAATGCAGAATGCCTCGCAAACTAACGCCCAGCACGCATTTTATTGAAAGGTTGAAATGCACAGTCATATGTGGCTTATATTCGATGTAACTAGTTTCTGGGTCGCTTGAAGGACAGACAGGCAGGTGATATCTGCCTCACGCCTTGAGTGGTAGTGAGAGAGAGAGGGGTGTCATAGTCATTTGCACACTCGCAAGTAAAAAGGTGTAATATTTAGATGTTACTGTCACATCATCGCAGCCCTTTTGAGGACAGAAAGATTGGCAAAAGCTCAAGCTCAGACGCGAGCGCCAGAAGACTTGCATTGAGCAATAAAAGGTGAATGGCTGCAAATGTCCAGATGTCAAATATGGTCGAGCCGTTTTAGTTGTTAATAATCTGCACAACTAAGATTCTGCATAAGAAGCGATTGCGTTAACACGAATGTACATAGAGATGCGACCCTTTGTGAGCGGTTCTTGTTTCGAGGTATAAAGGTGACAGAGTGATCTTATTGAACCCATCGACAACCTCCTCAATTTCTCAGTCTCAACGAGTTTTCCCGATCTGTTGTCAATTACTGGCTCGGGGGGGTTTTTTTTTTCTGCATTCGTCGGGTTGTAAAACTAAACACAAAAAAAGTTCTGAGATCTCCGGGTAAAGAGAGATTTAGGATCGAAGTCAGACGTGAAGTCCATTGGAGGAGATTTGATCGTCGGGACTCGTGTGTTTGAATTGGGAGACCGATTGCCGCGGTGTGGCTTCGTATTTCACATGAGAGAGAGAAGGAGAGAGAGAGAGAGAGAGGAAAAAAAACACACACACAGACCGTGTTATACGAATTCAAGTGAGATCGTAAAAAAAAAATTATCCGCGGGATCTGACTGGGAATTACTTTCCCAAAGAACGAACGCACCTGAAGCGAATTAAACTGCGATCGGATTCACAGTCAAAGAGGTTTATTTTCTTTCTCTTTGCTGGATCGGCAACACCCCCCCCCCCCCCCCCCGAAGCTAAAAGGCACCCATAAATGACACCTTACAGCTTGCAACCATCAGGACTACCCTCAGAGGCCCGGCTAAATGATGAGAGACCGGTCGAAAATCGTGACAGGTATCCGGTCTCTCCTCTCTCTCTCTCCTCTCTCTCTTTGCAAATGTCTCTCATCGGCTGCGATTCCCGAACCTCGTTCGAGGGAATTGCGACGCCGATCGCACCTCTCGGAACGGTTCTCACGAAAACGACGAGGGGTTGTGTCGTGTGGTGTGGTGTTGTGGTGGTGGTTGTTTTTTTTATACACACACACGCACACACACACACACACACACACGCACACACACGTCGCCTCTTCGAAAATCTGGATCCAGTTTGGGTTTAAGTTCAGGCACTGGGAGTAAAATCGTAGCGTTTTTTAATTTTTTTTTGATTATTTGTCTACCAGGTGACGATATGTGCTTTTAAGAAACTTTCCCCAATTGTGTGCGTGTGTATATATATATGTGTGTGTGTATATATATATATATATGTGTGTGTGTGTATATATATATGTATATATATATACATACACAGGACTCCCACTAAAGTGGGTTTAATTTTCTCTCATCATTCATATGTTGTTCATATTCAATTTACTTGAAACTGACCTCAGTGCTATATCCTATTTCTCTTTAACCAAATTAAAGAGCTTTCAATGCAAAACCCTTTTGTTTTAATATGCCGCAGTGTCGGTTTTGACGGGGTCGATTTTGCGTCTTTTCTCTCGTCCCAACACAGTTACTTTCTGAGATCACTTTCCCAAGTCAGCGCTGCGGCTGAAGTCACCGTAAACTAAATAAACCCGGAGAGGCTCCTCTTCGTTATAATTGCCTGGAATTGGAATAAACCTCTGCCGTCTGTGTCTCTGTCTGTCTGTGTCTCTGTCGGTCACGATCGCGCGTAGATATAACAGGAATTAATCGGCCCCATAGTTTCACCTGCCATATAGATGGCTTTGCACCTGGAAAACCCCGACAGCCCAAATTTGAAACGCATTTGTGCTTTGGTTATTGAACCCGCCGAGGATCAGTGTCACCCCCATTTTTCCTCAACGCTGTTTATTAACGGGGGGTCGCCCAAACCGTTTGCTGAACGACGGGATGCCTTCGGGGATCGGGTTAAGCGCTTTTTAGAGCATAACTCACCCGCAACTTTTCGGGGCTAAGTTTATTCCGGGCCAAGCGTGGCGGCAGCCGTGCAGAAAGCGAGCCAGTGCCCCCCACCCACCCCCCCTCACCCCCAGGCTCGTTAGCCCAGGCGAGGGATTGCAAAGCTATTCGTGGAACTGACATCGGAATATTTCTACCTGAAATCCAGTGTTATTGATCATTCTCTGCGGGTGTGTCGGGGCGAGGCTTTTCTCTGTGTGGATGGTGTGTGTTTGTGTGTGTTTTTTTACACTTCTACTCTCACACACCTCCAGCAACTCACAGGTCGGGAATCCCACGCTCCAGCCCCGATTCACTGATCACCACTGACCGTCCCGGCGTTTGGGGAGTCAGGTTTGGGGATGTCGGTGTCCCAATGTCACGTCGGCCGATTCCTTTGCACAGAGTTAAATTGCTCCCCTCCGCACGTCTTGATTTTTTTTTTGCAATATTCAGAAATCTTCTCCCTTTTTACCAGTCTGCAAAGAATTACACGTTTTTTTTTAAAAAAAAAACATTGCTTTTTTAGGAGTCGCGCTATTTCGATTGGGTGTGTCCGGCGTGCAGCATTTCACTTCGTTTTGGGGGTTTTTTTTTAAGCAAAAAAGTAGGTCGAGGAACCATTTAGCGCTCGATATGTTGTTTATTCAATTGGTTCAGTCACAAGCGAGGTTTATGCGCCTCAAAAACGACCCGGGGATCTCTGGCTAAAATATCAGCTCTAAAAAGCTGAACGACCGATGGCTTTGATTCTACACGTTTCCAAAAATAAAAGGGAACGGTTTTCAGGCTGATTCGAAAGTAAAATAAATCGCAGGTCTTTGGGGGGGGGGTTGTTTTGTCGATTCCTTCCTCGAAACCCTCATTAGTTTAGAGTTCACTTCGCCCCCAATAAACGGTACCTGCGGCCGAATTGAGAGAGTTCAGGTTTCAAGAGTGGTGATGGTTTATTTGCTTCTGAAATCTGGCACAACGCCTCTGCTTTTGTTTATGTTGCAGACGCATGTTCCCCTTCCTGAGTTTCAATATCTCGGCTTTGAATCCAACCACCCATTACAATGTTTTTGTGGAGGTCGTGTTGTCTGATCCGAATCACTGGCGATTTCAGGGAGGAAAGTGGGTGACGTGTGGGAAAGCTGACAATAACATACAAGGTAGGTAAGACCTCGACTTGCCAATGTCCCTCTCCCTCCCATCCAGTGGGTGTTTCTGAATTTCCACTTCATCTCTGGAGCTGCTGTTGTATTAGATTTTAATTAGAGGCAACTTTAGAAAGAAGTCACAGGCTCGTGGAGAGAGCAAAAAAAAGTCTGGGTCAGGTGAGCACCGTTATGTTGTGCGGGAAGAGTTGTCACTTGTTGGGAATTTGGGGAGGGGGGGGGGAGGGGAGAGATTATCCTGTAATGGTTATTTCTTAAGTCCCAGTGGCCAGGACTGTTCTGCCCAATGCCCTTGTATGGAACTTGACTTGGTGATTAATTGCCCTAATCTGCTGCACGCAATGAGCTGCCACTGCAGTGTACACAGTGTTTGCACACCGTTGCGCTGTGCAAACGCGAGGCTGATTGAAAGTGCGCCTGTATCAGAAACTTTGTTAGAGATAAATCCCGGCCAGAAATCACACGCACTGTTGGTATTTTTCCGCCGTTCCTGCACGGAAGGCTATTTGTTTTATTAAGAAGAAGAAGAAAAAACACGCACAAATTCGCTGGAAAGACGAGGGCGTCTTATTTGTTTTTACCTCATTGAAACGAACACGTAGGTAACTGGAAAAGTATCACCACACGTCAGTATTGAGTGACCACATTCCTTCTCGGTCTAATTTTGTGGACTCGAGACTTGCAGCAAAGTAACCTACACAGGATGTCCTCTCACGTATTTCAAGCCAAAGCACATTAGACCTTGTGCAACTTGTGAGTCAATTGAATCGCACCTTGAAATCAAAATAACTGTTCGTGGCTTTTAGTTTTATATATTGCATTATTCGGATACAAAATTAGGATTTTTGAAACTTGAAATAAAGCAAAGTTCGTTCTGCAAAACTTGCGATATTTAATATGAAACTGCATAACTTAGAACATGTCTCACCTCTGCACCACTGCTTGGTACCACAGTTAAGCAGAGGGAAACTAACCCCGAATAGCCTGCACCAATTTAATACTATTCGGGGTTAATTATTGCCTTACCATTTTACTTTTTACTTGGTTCTAATATTTGAATGCTTTCTCCCCTATGGTTCAAATAAGGCCGGGTAATCGCTCTTCATGCCATTACATTTAAAGGTGTAATGAGTTGAGGTTGAGGAAACTATATATAGGCCCAACCTCTTGACACCCGGATTGGATTTAACAGGAATGACAAAGTGACTGAAAATGTGAATATGATATATACCATTCTTGCTTTGCTTTTTGCATATAGGAGGCTGTTTCTCAGGGTGTTTCCACAATCCTAAACGATGATTCTAGTCCCAATATATTATGAGTTTTTCATCTAACTTTCCATTAGTGTTTTTTTTACCCAAATAGAAGGCTTAATAAATTGCCAGCTTTAAAGTTGAAACGGACGTGAGTGCAGTGCACTATGGTAATTGCAATGAACCTTCTGATGTGACATTTATCTTGGTTATAAAGACGATAACTTCTTTTTGAAAAAAAATTCTGGTGCAACAGTTATGAAGCTCAGCTCTGAGCAGGTTCAGATCTCTGGTTCCATGGTTCCAATCTTAAAGTACAATTGTTCTGTTTTAAATAATATTTTGAAAAAAATCTCAATACATTCAGAAGGATGCTTCAAACAAATGTCTTCCTAATAATAATAATACTTGATAAAGCACATATACTGTCCGGGGCTTCACAAGTATCAAGTCTAGTGATAGCAGCCATTTTATGCATAGCAACAACAACAAATTACATTAGGTTGTTTGTTGGGCAGTGCAATCCCCACAAACAGCCAGGAAGTTGAATGATTAATTTATTTAGCTGGTGATCCTGTTTCCATCTCAAGTTGTTGGACAGAGATTCTGAGCCATTCAATTACATTTTTCTGATGCCGGTTGATTAAATGCCAATTTTTATAAAAAAGAACAGAATTGTTCCCCTTTCCAGCAATTTTCCGATTGGCTTTTATTCTGAAGCACGAGCCTGGTTTTTGGTCTTGCTAATTACTTCATTGATGTGAATTATCAACATCCACTTTGAAGATAGGAAATTAGCAACTTTTTAAAAGAAAATTAAATCCTTTCTGACCAATACCAATGTCTTAGCAATAGGATCATTAAAACGGGCCGTAATACACACAAGATCGTTTTCGACTGCCTCATAACATGTTGAAGATTTTATTCAACGTAGATATTCTCACTGAAAGTAATTAAAATAATTCTTACCAGGTTAAACCTCACTTTCTGCGTTTCTCCAGGTAACAGAACTTATGTCCACCCCGAGTCCCCAAACACAGGAGCTCACTGGATGAGGCAGGAGATCTCCTTTGGGAAATTGAAATTAACTAACAACAAGGGCGCAACCAACAACAGCACTCAGGTGAGGAGCCATTCTCAGGCTGTACTTAACACCATTGCCTCCCACTCAGTGACACCCATTCGACACTGGACTGTGGACCTGTGAAAAATTGTGCTTTTTTATGCTCGCAGATGGTGGTGTTGCAATCTTTGCATAAATATCAACCACGACTGCATATAGTGGAGGTGAGTGAAGATGGTGTGGAAGATGCAAGTGATTCTTCAAAAACTCAGATCTTCACCTTTGTGGAGACACAGTTCATTGCAGTGACAGCCTACCAGAACACAGATGTAAGTGTAACCAATTGCCCTTTTGAATTCAATAACTTGAGTTAACAGTGGATGGCAAATAAAATATTTATATTATCTCCCCCCCACACACTTTTAGATCACACAGCTTAAAATTGATCATAATCCATTTGCCAAGGGTTTCAGGGACAACTATGATTCGTAAGTATAATTGGGAAGCTCCGACTTTTCCATCTTTGCATGTTTAATTTGAAAGCTTGCCCTGTGGTTTCTTAGTTGGACAACTTTAATATGTATTTCTTTTCAAACTTCTCAGTATGTTCACTGCTCCAGAAAACGACCGACTGACCCCTTCACCCACAGACTCGCCCCGATCGCACCAGATAGTGCCTGGAGCCCGTTATGCTGTCCAACCTTTCTTCCAGGATCAGTTCATCAACAATTTACCATCTACCCGGTTCTACAATGGCGAGAGAGCAGTGCCCCAAACCAGTGGTATCCTGTCCCCTCAGCAGACCGATGAATCTGGTAACCCTCCACAGAGGTGGTTTGTCACCTCTGTCCAACAGTCTGGGACTAACAGGTTGGACTTTACCTCTTATGATGCAGATTATCCCACCAACGCCTTGCTGCCCTACAGTCTCAAGCCTATACCCATCCAGTCACCTCATTCTCTGAGCTATTACCCCGACCCTACATTTGGCTGGGGCTCTAGGAGTTCCCAATACCAGAGGAAAATGAGCTCAGGGCTGGCATGGTCCTCCAGACCAAGCCCGCCAACTTTCCCTGAAGACCAATTGTTGGTCACTGAGGAAAAGTCGAGGGAAGAAGTCAACTCGCTCTGGATCGAGACCCCTCCATCCATCAAATCAATGGACTCTGATTCTGGACTTTATGAAAACTCATGCAAGAGAAGAAGGGTCTCACCAGGCAACTCCAGCACTGAAGGCTCCCCCACCATTAAATGTGAAACTATAAGCTCCAAAGAGTATTGTAAGGACGGTGCAAAAGCCATGGGCTATTATACTTTCTACACTAGCCCTTAACGTGTTTGTATGGAGAATGTGTGTATAGATAGCCAACCCATTCACCAAATGTCGAGGTGGTCTTACCAGTGCCAAAAAGACCTTTCACCTAAAGAACTGGTCTTGTACAGTCTACTTGTGCAATCAAATTTTAAGAAGGTGCCAAAGCTTTCTGATGCTGTAAGCAACAAAACGAACAGATTTTTAGCCAAGTTTGACCTTAAGTGTGACAATGATAGTATTAATTTTAGAAGGAATTTCTTGCAAGGGGGAGGGGGGAAGCTTAAGAATTTTACCATTTGTGGTTTTATTTATTTGACGATACTATGATGTACAGTTCCTGTTCTGTATAGTGTACTGTAGAATAGGTGCAGTATCGTGTAAAAGAAAATAACAGTGTTAGTTCCATGTCCCCTTCCTTTCCTCCCGTCCTTTCCAGTTCCACCCACTTGTACAGATTTAAACAGCTTTATCAAGCATTAAAGATTTCAAAAGCAATAAATTCGCACCGGATCAGACTGCAAACTTCAACTTTTCAATCAATGCTAATAAATAACTATGTACTGGAGTCTGTATCGATGCATAACTGGGACGCCTAGTATTCTAATCTATACATGTATTTCCAATATGTCCAATGTATAGAATATCTGATTTAAATGTAACATTTGCTGGCAAATTAGTTATGCGTTTATCAGGCTTCCGGTGGCCATTTGATTGTAATGTTGGAAATGATGTGCAAATTGGTTCTTAAAGCACAGAATGGCTTGTTTTTGAAGTGTCAGCATATGAAGTTTTTTTTACAAAATCACACTTTATTGCTACCACCAGTTAACCAGTTTCAATGTGTGCAGTCATTCTCTGTATTAGTGACACATTAAAAGAGTTCTGGAGGTTCCTCCCTTGTATACATAACCTCATTCCCAGGAATGTTGCGAGATGGTGAAAGATATTTAAATATGCTTCTTTGTGTTTAAAAAGATTTACGGTTTCATTTTTTTAAAATTGCATTATATACGGTCTTTTGAAAAGAATTAAAATACCAGATCCTGAAGAATTCAGATGGAAATGTGATGAGATACCACAGTTTTGAGAAGTGATTAGCTTTCCTGACCTTGGGAATGATACCATTCTCTATACTGTATTAACAACTTGAACATTTTTTTAAAAAAATAGTGTTTCTTAAGTTTAATATCTCCCTACCGGGTCAGATGGCAATTCTGAACTTTTGTGTTCAGTTTATAGCTCCACAGTTTCAACAACTAATGATGATAACAATTAAATAGTGAGACTGGGTTTAGGAGCAGAGGAAGCACTTCGTTGTGTGACAATTGTTAAACTAAAATGGAAGGACTCTTTCCTGCATCCTTCTGATTTTTCATCTGTCAAACCATTGAGCTTCTTGAGTGCAAAACAAGGTTCTGTTCAGCAAACGATTTATTTGGAAAGAGTTGACGACATGTTAAAGCCACTCAAATCTTCCACGCGCCGCTGAATCTTGTCTGTTTTTTTTTGTTTCCATTATAACAACCTTTTCTACCCATCAATCTTTGTAATTGCAAAGTTGCGATAAATTTCTGGTGCTTTGATTCTCGGCTGTGAAGTTTGTCCCGTCCTTAGCAGTTTGATGAACTCTTTCTAAGTCCCACCAATAACACTGGAACACAACTGCACTGTTGTCGGGAAACCCATCATATGTTAATCCGGACGATAGGACCGGATTGGCTTCAATCCTTTATGCGTCTTTTTTTTNAACCAACGCTGGTGGTTTTTTTTTGCACCATCTTGATATCTATTGCCTTGTCAAGTGCCTTTCTGAATTGAAACTGACCTCCTCGTGTGAAAAGCCCCGTCTTCTGGTGGATGGAGAAGGCTGAGATCCGGGGCTGAAATTTGACCCGCAAGAGAGTTAAAAAAAAACCCCAGGGAAGTGTTGACAATCTTTTCCAAACTCTCCCAAACGCTGTCAGTCGGTCTTGGATGATAATACCTGACGTCCATCCCTGAACCTCCCATCAGAGAATGCCACTCACACCGATCCTGAGTTGGGTTCAGGTCCAGAGATCTCACCTGCTAATAACTCTCAAAGATATCTCAATGGCAGAAAGTAACTACAATAATAATCCTTACAATAATAATCCTTCCATGTGATGCAGCGTCTCACAGCGCTTCACAGGTTATACTGGAAGGTGAATTGACTGTATATGTTGTGGGCGAAACTCATCAGTGTCATCTCCAGGATCTGAGCCCCATCGTATTTCAGATGCAAACGATTCAATTCTTACAATCTTGATTCGTTTCTTTTTTCGTTTTCTTTCCGGAAACACATCAAATGGTGAACACGGATTCATAAAATAGGAATCTTTATTCGGGGCAGTGGATCATTGCGATTCATTCAGGGTTTTAGTGACCTAAACAGCTGTGAATCAGTGACATGCTGCAGTAAAGTGAAAGAAAGAAATAATTAAATCGAAACCTGATCAGATATTGGGATGCCTTTTGCCCAGAATAAAGATTCCTATTCTACGAATCCGTGTCCACCATTTAATTTGTTTCTTAAATTCGGATCTTTTGGGTGAAAGATTAACCCAGAGCTTCTTGATCTAAAGCAAATATCGTGAACCGACGTTTCAAAATGATACATCTAATAATCCTCACATTTGAGCATTGCTAGAAAGTTCGTATTTTGTGTTTTTGTTTCCCCCAAATGGATTATTATTTAAATAGAGGATTTCTGTATTTTTTGCAATGAATAGTATATTTTTCTTTATCGAACCTGCGCCTTTGAACGTCTTTCTCGGATTAAATCCAAGCTGTCTGCAGTCCTCGTAAAATCCCTATCCCAATTCCATACAAATACAGCAGCCTGGGCTGTGATATTTGCCTTCTTAACGCGTTTGGAGTCGTGCGTTTATGCGGGATTTTGGACGGTCAAGAGTCTGCAAATAATAAGGTCACTCTACCTACAATGAGGGATTTTATTTTTTTTGGGGAGGAGACACCTCAATACATTTATGCTGAAATATGGTAAACTCTGTGTGGGTCACAGCAGGAGGACTGGAATTAGTCTGGGTGGTCTGGGGGGGGTGGGTGGGTCGGGGGTCAGGTCTGGTTGTGACCGTGATCTCTGCTGCAAAAGTATCTTTGAATCCCTGAGCTGTGATGGCTCCTACTGACTGATGTCTGTTCTTTCAAAATGTGTTTCTTTTTCCGTCTTTTTTTCAAAAAAAAAGAAACCCATTCAATGGTGAACGCTGCTTCATAAAATAGGCATTTATAATAATTTATGAATCAAGTCAGTTATGGCCCCACTCACTGTCCCAAACTGACCTGAATTCACCTTCACTGAAAATCTCAGAGCGATGCCTTTTACTGGTGGGTTTGTTTTTAAGGTTAAAAGAGACATCAATTGCACATCCAACATCCGAAAGAGAAAAGATGCATTAACCTGGAGGATGTGGACTTGGTTCAGAGCACCTGAGATGGCAGCTGTAACCTTAATCTTTCAGGAGCTGTTGTTTATCTGCAGATTTTCGGATCCTACACATCAGATGTTAAGCCCAAAAAAAAACCCCTGTGATTAACAGACCCTGTGCCCGTGTGGTCGCATTGGTATATTGCTCTGGCGTTCACCTCGCCAGAAAATAGATGCATTTTCAAGTTGTAGAGAAAGGAGAGTGGTTTTAAGTCAGTGGGAGATCAGTAATTCCGAAAAAAATATCAAAAGCCCAAGGTTGGTTGTCAAACGCCAAGGTACTGCTGGAATCATTTATGAATCACCCAGTTATGAGAAATCAGACGACGCTTTGAAGAGAAAGAAAACGAAACAGATACATTTGATTTATAAGAGGCGAAACCCGACGCGTTGCATTTAACGATTTGACAGCAGAGATCTTTTCATTTGGTTTCCATATACACACCATTCCCTCACAGGCTGTGCAATGATTTTATACCTTTGCTTCGTCTCTTCGGTGTGAGCCCTGGGGATGTGACACCACAGATTGTGCACAAGATTAGTTTAATGCCAGTTCAGGGTACAGCTACAGTGGAATCGATGGGGCGCATCTCTCCTCCTGTGAACTTCCCAGACGAAGTCGCTTATACACATGAACCTAAAAACAACTTGTTCTAAAAGCGATGGGCTGACTGCTTTTTTTTTTAAAAAAAAAATCCCCCGATAAAAGCATCCGTTTCACCTCCTGCCTGACTGGCGATTCGCCGCCGTGTGAAGTCGCTGCGTTTTAACGCTAAATTGCTTTCTGATCATTTTCAATTAACACCTGAGAATTATCAAAAACCTCTTCTCTGAACTCCAGGCGTCAGACTCCCGGGTTGTAAGTGGGTGCGTCTAATTGAGCCTCAAAGGAGGAATCCAATAAACGATGCAGAATATTTTAAACATCTGCTTCGCCCACGAAGGATCACCCGATCGGAACTGGCGATGAACCCAGTCTCACAGCTCCGGGCTCTGTGCACACAGGAGCAGGAGATGTGGATTACACACACACACACACTTCGTGTCCCAGACGCCTCGCAAAACACACTGCGGGAAATGTGCTCTCTCGTCACGACCTTCCCGGACTCGACTGTCTTATAATAATAAATAATAATAATAATAATTAACAATCATTACCAGGAAGGTAACTAATGTTAAGGTTGACTCTGTGCAGATTTGCACGCTTCTTGCTGCAGAAAACAGGGCAGGTTTTCGCTGTGTTCTGGCCAACTGATGCATTGTCCATCTAACGCCTGAAACCCCTCACAATAAATAATACGTGTGAAATGCAAATTGTCGCAGCCTCTGATCCAGTGCTATTTTACAGGACCTAATGTTAAATATCGCTATGGTTCCGAGCATCACCGCATCACCGGTGATTAGCTCAGGAGACATGGATTGAGTCGATGTCCTGGTAAACCCAAACGCAATGCGATTAACCCCTCTCTGGCTCGACACACGAACGAGTGCTGTAAACTGCTCCACAGGTTGGCAGCTGTGACTGCGGACACTGCACTGCTGCGGTGTCGCTCCAAACTCACTTCAGTTGTTTCCACTCTGGACACAAATAACACTGGGGGGGGGGGTCTGACCTCTTACTGCTGCCGTTCAGGCTGAGGAAGTGGATGAAAAATCTACCAAATAACCAGAGACTTGCACAGATACAGGACATGGGGATTCACGGTTTTTCTTTTCTGTTCTTTTTTTTCGAGGTTACAGTGACTTGCGCCTTAATGTGCTCTTCCCGGGTCTGTGTACATAGGTACAGGCTCCCATGAATAAGCGAAGGATGCTATGTAAAATGGCATTCAGTGCACCCATGTCCAGTGAGAGTTCCTGTTCTCAAACAATCTGCAGTTTGTGGGATCCCTGATCCAAGTGCACCTTTTTTTTTCACGAGGAATCCACATCTGAGTATAAAATGTTGCACAATTTACTTGGTAATAATGGTATAAACACAGAAGTCGCTGGGAACACGCAGCAGGTCAGGCAGCATCCATGGAGAGAGGAAGTTTACACCAGATTTCCAGCATCTGCAGTACTTTTGCCTTTTGTTATTTGTTAATGATGTTTAACACGCTGACAGCAGAGAATGGCTGTGTGGAAATTGGCTGCTGAGTTCGTCCACAAAATGCACAGTAACTTCACATTCTCACGAATCCTTTCAGACTTTTCAAAGTCACGATAATGTGCGTTATCAAATATAAGGATTATTATTAATAACAAAATAATCACAACTTTAGATTTACACCTGAGATAAAAACACAATTTTAGACATTATTTTTGCTTTTATAATTTTGCTGAAATGGCATATTCTTTGATCATAGCAAAAGGAATCTAGTAATAATAATAATAATCCTTGCATTATATAGCACCTTATATCATCAAGACATCTTAACA